TGAAAGCACCAGACATGTCTGAGGGTCTGTGCTGCAGGCATCTGGCCAGAGCAGGGTCTTCAGATAGACCACCCTGAATTTGGATATAGAAGGAAGGAAAATCCTATTGTCTGTGGTGCTCCAAATAGGTGACATTTCAAATATGCTGTGTGTGGAGTGGTGTCATTTTTTCTGAATCTCTGCTTAACTAAATGTAGAGACTTCTAGATTTTCACATCTTTCTTGCAATCAATTGCTACAGCTCAAATACTTTCAATTTCATTTTCAAGTACACCACGGAGAAACTTCAAGCCAGCTTGTTTGTTTGTATCCTTAAAATTCACACTTCTGCTTTATACCCTGACATTTTGTTGCCAGCATATTGTTTCTCTCTGTTTGAATGGAAATTATTTGTAGGTAAAACCAATTCTGATGTAACTGTATATTGTATATTTTTTCAACGTGGTCATATAAATTGTACTGTTAAAATGTAAACTATTTTCAATTTGTATGTAGAAATGTCCTTTGAAAGAAGAGGAAATCTAAGCATCTAAGCCGGTTTATTTTAAAGGGCACACCTATTTTGTTCTATTCCTTAGTGTTCTTGATTTGATCCAATGTATATTTAATATTTGAAACCTTATGGCTAATCTTCTGTTGAATACTTTTTTTTTTATATTTTCACTTTCCCTTTTCTCTGTAGGTAGAAGAAATTGTTGATATAGGAGCATTTGCCCCAGAAGACATTCATGTTCCCAAAATCTATGTGGATCGTCTGATACAAGGAGAGAAGTTTGAGAAGAGAATTGAAGTGAGTAGCTGAGTGTTTGGTCACAACATATTTCAGCTTGGTGGATATTTTAGAATTTACAGTGTTTTTACTCTAGCCAACAAGTCTTAGCACTGAGAAAATAGTGTGAAAAACGCCTGTTGAGTTTTGATAGGAGCTTGGGTAGGTACTTACGTAGTTAGTAGTTAGGTGTGGGCCTGAGAATCAAGCATTGTTTCCTATACCTCAGCCTCTCTGGTTCATTCCCTGAATAACTGAAGAGCAACAGCCTGTAGGGGCTGGGGCCCTGGGGGCTCTAATGCAGCTGAAATTTTGATGGAAAATGCTACCTCATTCTCCTTCCTTCTCTCACTTCACCTTCTGCAGACACAACAAGTGGAGCACGCAGACTAAGTATGAGCTGTCTTTGATGATCAGATACTTTCTTTTCTACTGGAGAGCTTTTGTCATAGGCGTGTAGGGCCCTTTTTGTGCTGTGTATTGAATTGCATTACATTGAAAAGGCCTTTTTCTTTAATCGGTGGCATTTCTGGTCTGAATAAAAGATGTCAATAGCAACATCACAGCGATAATATTCCATCACTGAAAACATCCAAGAAAATGAGGATTACATAATTGTTCTTTGTTTCTGTGGCTTTGCCCACTCAAGCTATGTCCCTATATTATTCATTTTGGTGATTTGACAGTGCTCTTAAAGTGTAATTGAAAATTCTGTATTTCTCCTATGTCTCCATACTCTGGAGGTGGGAATTATTCAAAATGTCATAAGAAGAGCTGGTGGAGGGGGAGATATATGACACAAGGAAAAAAACATCTTGAAAAAAAGTGCAGAAAAGAATAGTAATAATTAAACTTTTATTATTAAAATCAAGTCACAAAGTCCTAGCAAGTCATATAAGGCCTTTTCTCTGAGTAAACTCTTTCATGAATGCTAGGTTAAAAAGCTTTTTTTTTTTTTTTGTCCTTCCATCTGTTCATTCTGTAAAAACATATTGCATGTTGTTGAGTATTTCACTGGAAACAGATGTGTCAAATATCTTTTTTTCTTCCTTTTTTTTCCCCTTTCTTTGAGCATGTTATGTTATACTGCAATTAATGGCCTGTATTCCTATTTAGGAAGCAATATCTCACATAAAAGCTTTTGCCTTTTGCGATCAGAATCCATTTTACATTTATTAAAGTTTTTACTGCGGTTTGGCAGTGGATGAAAAGGTGACTCTCTGTCCAGATAAGACCTTTGTACAAACACCTGATTTTCTTTGAGTTGGCTGTTTAAGTGAATACACTTACCTAGTTGACTGCCATCTTACCTATATGCTTAAGGAAGAAATGAAGGGATGGGGTAGCAGAACTAGTATAAATGGCACAGCAAAGTAACAGAGATTATTTTTGGTTGTGTAATCTTGTAATTCTGGCAGTGGTGCCTCTCATTAATAGAAGCATAGGAAGGAAACGGCAGATTTATTTACTCTTCCATAAAAGATTATATGCAAGGAAGTGGCTGTACATATGAAAGTGTTGAGGATGATAGTGGTAAGAAGAGAGATGAGAAATAAAGAGAATAAAAAGAAGCTAGTCTGTTGTAATTCTTGCTGGATTTAAATAGCAGTTCTTTCCTAATTTGGCCTAAACGTAGTCCCTCTAGTGCAAGTCATCCTCTCTATCCAACCTTCTCTTTGCTGCAGAGAAACCCTCTGTGACTGTTCTTTTTCTGTAACTTGCAAGTGAAGCAATTCTAGGGAAAATAGCCAAGGCATAAAAAGAAAGTCTCTGGGGAATTCAAGAGGATTTATTCTGACTCTTTCTGACTGCCTGAGAGGAAAGTGACTTCCAATATGCAGAAAAAAGACACTGCAAATTTTTTTTTGTAGTGATGAAAAGTAACAGAGGATAATTTTGCATGATGTGCTCATTATGGCCTGAAGTAGGAAAGGATGTGAAAATATATTGGGATGCAGGACATGGTGCTGCCCAGAGCACTTTTATATGCATGGGAGAGATGGGCAAAGAACATAATGTAAACAATAATTTTCAAAAAGGTCTTACAAACTTCTGGAATGTCATGGCATTTTCACCAACATGTGATTTAAAAAGCATCAACTTAAGGACAGAAAATCTCAGGAAATAACTTCAGGCAGATTTTGCAAGATTATACAGATTTTTGTTTGAAAATTCAGTTGTTTATCTCTGAGTATCTTCAGATGACTGGCATTTGTCTGTCTCATGCATATAAATCTAGAATAGCACCACTGAATTAAATGTAGAAAGAGAGCAGTATTTGTATTTTAGGCTGACATTTAACAAATCTATTTAGGTATCTCTGGGGTAATGAGTCTCAGACTTGCTAATATTTGCACTAATGCTTGGTGCCTTCTTTACTAGTTGTCTATTACGTCAGCCATGGCAGTACAGACAAAGAAATAACATTTTGCTCTAAGGCCATCACTGGGGATACTTGATGACTTCATTGGCTTAGATAAACTTAAATTGATAGAATAAAAGGTTGGTATTTCTGTAGAAGATGTATAAATAATTTTATTCTTAGACTAAGTACCTCTGAGCAATCACACGTCAGCCTTTTGTGTTGTTAGAAGCAAGAATGTGGATTCTAATCTTTACTTATGATTACTTCTTTTTTTCCAGCGCTTATCAATTCGAAAGCCTGAAGACTCAAAGGCCAAACAAAACCAAGGAGACAATGTGAGGGAGAGGATCATCAGACGGGCTGCTTTAGAGTTTGAGGATGGCATGTATGGTATCCTTCAGCTGCACTATAGGTTAAAGTGATGACTCACTAGAGTAATACCACAGATAGTTTGTTTAAGATCGGTTAATTACAGTGCTCACTGTCTTTTGCAGAGCCTGGGCTTCTGTCATTTTATTAACACCTTATTGAAATATATAGGATGTTAAGGCACAGGGTACATGGAGTGTTTTTCCAAGCATATCTGAAAAGTTTGTTAGCAGTTGAATGTTTTGAAGAATTTCTTGAAAAAGTTACGTACATTGGAAATGAAGCTTACTTGCACTGTGGATTTTTATATCATGTAAAGCATTTGACAGAATGCAGTTAGACAATCCAAATGGCAAAGTAATTCACAAATTTACAAATATGAGGCATCTAACTATAATGAAAGTGTTTCTGAAGAGAACAGTTCTAATCTAATCATAGTACAATGATAACTTCTTTTAATTTACTGGTTTGCAGTACGTATGTTCCTGTTTGTGTCTTAACCTATTCTCTTCAGCTAATCTGGGTATTGGAATTCCACTCTTGGCCAGTAACTTCATCAGTCCAGACATAACTGTTCATTTACAGAGTGAAAATGGAGTCCTGGGTTTGGTAAGAATATATCTTGGTCCCTTACTGTGGTGTGCTTACCTTTCAGGTGGTTTTATTCCCCACCCACTCCAACTTGATGATAATTTTATTAAAGATTGTATTAAAATATATGCCATATTTCATGATCATAAAATTCTCACTGCAATGTGGGGAAGTTTTTCAGGAAATGTTCGTTTCAGGATTATAGTGCTACTTTGCTAAATATGTTCTTAAGAACATGTTTTGCTGGAAGGAGTCAGAACCTTCAGTAGTTTTCAAGACCAAGCCTTGTAAGCCTGCTTAAACATAATTTTAAATAGAGCTCAAAGTGAACATTATTTTCACTGTTTTTTCACTGGTTTTATGAAGTTGCACCTATCTACCTTTTCCGGAAAAATGCCTATCACTTTGGTTAAAGCCAAACCAAAACAACAAAACAAACCCCCAACTTTCTGGTTATCTACTCTAACAGCCACTAAAACTATATCCATCAGTCTTCATATGATAGTTGATGCAAATTGTGGCTTCTCCTGTCAGGGACTTTGTTCTGCTGAAGATTAAAAAAATGCATGTCTGTGGAATTAGAAATACTAAAGAAGTTATGAATTCTGTGTCAGATGTATTTTAATATAAAGCAGACATATATCTATGTTGTTTTCAGGGTCCTTATCCACTTGAAAATGAAGTAGATCCAGACCTGATTAATGCAGGTAAAATATTTTAAATAAATTTAATTTATGGGAAATTATTAATCATTTCTAATCTGAAAAAATAATTTTGATTCAGTATTTGAACACAGACTCCTGTTTTATTTGTTTATAAATATAAATGCATTTGTCTTGTTTTAACTGAAAGTTGGTTTTGATCAATGGAGATGTTTAACATTCTAGTTAAAGAGCTTATGCTTCGATGCATTCTAGTAGCTACTAAAGGAAGCTGTCCTCAAGGCCAGGCAGTAAAGGGTCAAATCTTCCTTTTCAGAAGTGAGATTGTTTTGTTGAGCCTAGATGTGAATGTGGATTTGTTCTCCCACTATTTTTTGCTTTGTGTCTTCTAGAAAATGGTTTTCAATGATTTGTGTTTGGGACATGTTTTAAAACATCCTGTGTATGATGGTCTGCTTTATTCCAGGATAGTAAGTTTCAGGAATGCAACTCGTTTGCATTTAGAGAGAGAACAGTGGCCAGGGCAGTGGGAAAGAGCTCCTCAAAACAGGACCTGGCCACTGGAGGACTCTGCTGCAGACGGTTGCTTTTGCCACTTTAAGGGTGAAATGCCAGTCCTCACATACTGTTTTCAGCCAGCTGTTTGGGGGCATGACACCTCAGAAGTAACCATACAGTGTAAAAATGTACACTTTTTATGGTTTAATGTGTTTTTTCTGATTTCTGTTTTCTTCATGGAAAGTTGTGACTGCATCTTGGAAAGTTGTGACTGAATCTGTTCTCTGTTTCTGTGTAAAATTGCACCTATATGTTGCATTGTGACAAACAAAAATTCTCACTAATGTTAATGGTATAGGTTATAGACCAATAGCTGACATCTTAGAGCTGGTTTTTTTTTTTCATATGGAAAACATTCATTTTATATTTTTTAGTTATGTATACATATACATACATACACATATGTGTATAGGGGTGTAAGTATGTATCTATCTAGAGAGTACCTTTGTCAGTGGCTGCTAGCAGGTACAATTAAATGGTGAAAAGTCAAAGAAGATGAAGCACTGACATCAAACAGGCTTTTAATTTAATATGAGGGTGCAGCCTAGCAGTTATTCACTGACTTGAAACATTTGCTACCTGGCTTAACTAATTGATACCATTATCATTCTGCTATGTTATTGCCCCTCTTTCAGTATTATGTTTTAAATAAGGAATTATTTAAGGCTATCGTCTGATTTGAAATAAGAAATTATTAAGGCATTGAGTCCAGCATTCCACCAGTAGCTAGGTAACTGTTGTGATACACTGCATGAAGGAAAATGTCATAGAGATATGAGAGCTGTGTTAATGCTTGAACTGAAAGTGTTTTGTTTGTTTGTTTTTTTAAAATTGAAGGTATCACTGGAAGGAAAAAAGTATTTAGAATAAAAACCCAGTTACTATAAGAGATGACATTATATGCATGCACATTAGAACTTAAGTTCTAATACAGGCACATTAGAAATGAACACATTAACAAAGTGACTATGAGAAAAACATGCAAGAACTTGATAAGTACTCTGAAGAATCACTGAGCTCTTACATGGATGTCAAATAACAAATCAAGATCATCTTATGGATGATAAATATTTTTGAAAAGGTAATCTTGCAGGGATGAAGCTAATCTAAGAGGTCAGAATGCAACATTGGAAATAAGATTATTCTAGTTTTGTTAATTCAGTGTTAAGCACCTTTACATCTTCCTCTGAAGGTGCAGTAGACAGGACACAGGATAGGTGAAACTCAGCTATACCACCAAAATTATTGTTATCATTGCTCAAACATTCAGTAGCCGGTCACCGACATTTAGTTGGATTAAGACCATCCTAGATGCTTTCCAGCTAAATACACAAAAGCATGTGAAGAAAACAGAAGCTACATGGCAGAGCAGTAGGATTTAATTCTGTTTGTATTCATCTACTGGAATGTCCACATTTTCAAAATACACTCCTGGTTTAGATTTTTGCTAAATATTTATCTGCAAATGTAGTTGTATTTCTCTGAAATGTGTATGGGTTCTTTGTCCCAGGGTAGAGTTCTGTCTTACAGGGTGATATGGTACTGTTGTTATGTTATTCTGTGGTCCTCAGCCTGTGTCTCTTTCTACTCAGCACTGTCCTAGCTTGTCACTTTATCCCAGGGTTCTCACTCCATCTAGCTGATTGCAGGCTATGCTGTCTCTGCCACTGCCTTGGGTGAGGGCCTGGTAGTGAAAGACAATTCAGGCAGTCTTAGTTGGTCTGGATGTTAACAATATGAATTCTTGAGGTCTGACTGCAGGGCTGCTGTATAACCTTGATTCTATACTCTTTTGTGTGTTGAAATTCAATTCCCATGCAGTATCTTGGCATATAAAATACATCAAATGAATTCAGTAAATTAAACCAGGTAACTTAGGTCTCCATTTTAATTTCCTGTGCTTTTTCCTTCCTTTTTCCCATCCTCTTAATTAATCTCATTGTCTTTTCCCCTGTTTTCTGGAAACTTTAAAGATGTCTCATTCTTTTTTTCCTTTGTTGTTACACTAATGTTTTCTTCACAAAGTCATCTGGTGATAAAGACATGCTTGGTTTATATTTCACCTTCAGCTGTGTTTCTTACGCTTTTCCAGAGGCACTCTATAGGCATGGTTGTTGTTTAGACTGATTCTGTGCTGGCAGGAGAGGACAGAAAGGGCTCTGGACAGAGTCAAAGTAAGGCACTTCTGTTTGTGCTCCATTGCTTGATCCAAGCACTGTGCAAAGGACAGTACAGAACACAGAAGCACGTTCTTTGGTGGACTTTAACAAAAAGAGAGTAGACTAGATCTGTAATTCATTTTTCTCTATTGTACAATGTTATCACTCTAGACTGTTCAAAGTGGTCTGCTCACTCTTCCTTGCAGCCTTCCTCTCTCCTGATGAAAGAGTTACCTCTCACTTTTTCTGTAGGTAGAGCAGAAAGCTGAAATGCACAGAGATATCTTAGCCTCTGGTGTCAGCGGTGTCTTGCCTGGAACCGTTGGTAGTCAAAAAGCAGGCAGTCCTATCATTAAAAACGGTAACAAACTGCTACACAATTCATTATGATTGATTAGGTTTACATGTGACATGGTAAGTGTAATCAGGTCCATAGTTGTACAGAATCCAAAGGAATTTGATAAAAACCCTTATCTTGGTCAATAGCTGTGACTTCATTTGTCAAAGAGACAAAATACGTACAAACTATAGCTGATTTCTTTTACAGGTAAGGAGACAGTCACTGTTCTTCCAGGTTCTTCCTATTTCTCTAGCGATGAATCATTTGCAATGATAAGAGGGTACGTAACAACACAAACCCTGATCTTTTGAAACATGAAAAGAATAAACTGAGTCAGCGACTGAACTCATTAGTAATTCTTTGAAATGTGGTTAGCATTTAACAACCTGTAAAATAAACATGGATTTAATCAGTAGTGGTTTACAGAGGATTAGGTCACACTATTGGAAATAGAAAAACACTGTAACTAACAGATACTATAGAGATGTTCATGTCTACCACCACCTGGCCATATATAAACACATTTGTAACTATGTTTTAACTGCTTTTTGGTCATTTCCAAGTACCTAATCTGTACTTGCACTCTGTATATTCTCTTTGCTCAGCTTGCAACAGTGATCATCATTCCACCTCCCTAATGGAAATTCACCGTCTGCACCTGTTTTTTGTTTGTTTATTGGGGAAGGAGGTTGGATGCAAACAAACACTAAATCCTAATGGCTCTGAAAAGATAATGAGTGCATGTAAATACGCGAAGGAGTGCACTTTAAAGTATGAGTTCAGAACTGATAGACTGTGCATGCAGTAACCAAAACCAGACAAAAAGTAGTAACATTTTTGGGGCTCAGTAGAAAAATTTGCATCAGTGATATATCTGCAGGGGAAAAAAAAACCCAGCTACAAGTGTGACAGAATGGTTGCTACCTCTGTGGTATGCCACCTTTTTTATATTGATGTAATAAGAATGTGAACAAAAGCTTGTTATGATCTGTGGGCTGTTACTTGAACATGATAATGCTAATTACACACTTTCTGTTGCCAGAGGCCATGTTGATTTGACAATGCTTGGAGCTATGCAAGTGTCTAAGTATGGTGACCTGGCCAACTGGATGATTCCTGTAAGTAGATGTTTGTACTATTGTCAATGCACTATACTTAGGATAATATAAATGCAGCTGAGGATCAGGCAAAGGAGAAAAGAGCTGTAGCATAATGGGTGTTGTGAAGCTCAAAGCATTAAAATATAGGATACATTCAACTTTAAGGTTAATAGGTTTTCTTGCCTATTTCCGGCACCAAGCAGTCAATTAAAAGGAGTGAGCCCCCTAAAATTATACTTGTGCTACGTATTGTGAAAAGTTAAACACTATTTAGGCAAGCCTTTTTCCTTCCTTTTGGGTCTATGACTTTCAAATCTTATGTTTCTTTTGCTGAGACCTGAAGCTTTTTCTTGAGAGTGTCAACTCTTGTATAGTTGTACCTGGAGCAAGAACTTGAAGGAAAGTGTAAAATAACAAGTAGCTCATAATAAAATTATAAAATAATTTAAAAAATTTAAAAAAATCTGAATTATTCTTCTCAGTGTTCCTGTCAAAGGATCATAGCATTGCCATGTTGAATAGAAGACAGCAATACTATTGTGTTCACCAAAAAATTCCTACAGGTTTCAACCACAGAAATACAAGCTAATCCCAGTATTATTGAAGCAACTGATTACATTAAGCCATTCTTTGAACACAGTTTATGTTTTAACATTAAAAAACATATGTATCTTTCTCATGGTTTACAAGTTTAATATTTTCAATATGGTACCTTCTCCTACAGTTTGTAACAGAGGCGTCTAGAAACAAATTTTCTTTTTAGCCTGGTTTGATGTAATAAGGCATATTTCTATCTGTCTGAGCAGTGCTAAAGGTTTCAGGAGAGTCTTTCGAGAACTGAAAACTAGGTAGAGGAGGTAAAAAACCCAAGGAATGTCCTGTCTCTTGGAGGAGTGTTGGTTGAGTCCAGCAGTCTGTGTGACTTTTCCAGCAGGCTTGTGAGTGTACAAGTCATGGAGCAGTGGCTGGAGCATAAGCTGCTTTTAGGAAGAGGGGACAAAGAAAGGGTCTGTACAGGCAGACATGGGAAAATGGAATATGTGAAGGGTGATTCCAGGTGTCTGTGTGAGTGATGGTGGGGAATGTGAAGGGGTTATGGCTAGGTTGGAATATAGCACAGAGGAGATAAATACATAAGAAAACAGTCTTCCTTAGATGTTCTCACAACATAACCTGACTTTATGGTCACACAGCTGAGAACAGACAGATTAGTGCTGCCTAGATCTTTTCAGACCCCACTGACTGAAGTGCTAGCTTTTCAAAACTCTCCTACTTGTGCTGTCATCAAGTTTATAGTATGAAAAATGGGGTCTGAAGATTAGTGCTTCTGTTTGTGCAGCACTCTGGGATCCTGTGTGTGCTCTTTTATCACCGTTTTATGCGTTTTGATGGAACTCTGTGTTTTAAACGTAATCTGACAGTCATATATACACTGTAGGAGTTCGAGTATGACATGCATTAAGGTAACACTGGTTAGCTTTGTATTGTTCAATTCCAATTTCTTTTTTTGTCTGGAGTTAGAAAAACTTGTCACTAGAATCCAAACTAATGAAACCAGCCTCTGTGGTGGAATCACCACACACTTTGAAATATAAGGGTAAATCAAAGTAAATTTTAACCCTAGGTTTGCTGTTTGAGCCAAGACAAAAGTATGATAGTGTAAATTTTCAAGGAGTTAAAACCTCAGTTAGCTGAAATTGGATTTCACCTGATTTGTGCATGGGTTTGTATCTCAAAGGTATGATAAGTCACCCAAACTCAAATTACATAATTTAACTTTAAAACACTTATGTTTAGTAAAATGTATTTTTTTCAGATGATCGATATAAATAAATGTACTCTGTCAGTCCAATACTGCAAGTACATGTCACTGACAAGCTGAGTAGGATACTTTTTCTTTCTTGTCAGTCTAAGAACTACTCCTTTCTTTCACTGGATGAAATAGTTCTGTTTTTGTGAAAGCACTTCCTTCATGTTAATTTGGGGTGGCCATAGTGTTTTATACAAGTAGAAATTACTTGCTTCCATAGTGGCTTTTAAAAATGATTCTGAATTATTGCATTCTCTGTCAAAATCTTAAAGATAGAGGAGAAAAAATATTTAAAGGTAGGTTGTTATGTTGTTATAGTATAAACTTTTTTTGGGGGGGTTAATAGTATTTAGTTTTTTTCTATTAGTATATTTCAAGATTATTTTAATCTGTACATCTTTTTCTTTCAATTGTCAGATAAGTTCTAGGTTTTGTTTAGCTGGATTGCCTTAAACTGACATTCTCTTTATACTTTTGCAAAATGAAAGTCACTGTATATATAAATGTGTCCCTAGACTTTCTTTTGCATTCAGGATTACTTAACTCCTGAGATTTTCTTCTTTGACAATCCTTTGGTCCTGCAAAAGCAGTGTTAAATGTTCCTGCACCTATTAAAGCCTTCTGTTTACTCAAGCTGTTTTTGAAAGACCTAGCAGAAAGTGGAAGGGGGTAGGTTGAATTTTAGGTAGGAGCTTTATTTGCTTTTTTTGTTGATTTAGTAAATTAAATTATTTTGAAGTATTCTTCAATATACTCAGTGAATAAGTAATAAATAAAGATTCCTGCACTAAATTGTTCCTATTAAACCAGCAAAATTGTACCTCTACTGAGAGCTCAAGAAGCTGAAATGTTTGAAAAAAGACATTCCTGAATAGGTGAATAGGTTTTAATGCCAAAAAATCGCCGTAATTTTGACTGACCATATTGGTATCTCAGGATATGAAATTTTATGCAGTTGTATAATAGCTTTCAATCTGAAAGCTATTCACTAGAACATTCAATCTTGTAAGGTAATGTCATGAACCAGAGCAATTCACTACTTGTTTTCTTGCTTTTACTTGGGGTGTTTTTTTTTTTTTTTGTTTTTTTTTTTTTTTTTTGTTCAATGTCCTAGACTTACATGGAACAAAAGCACAGCATTCACAGGCACTGCAGGCACAAATATTATGTACAACATCATACAATGCTTTCCGGATCTAAGTAATATTAGCTTTTCCAGTAGCTTTGTGCAATTCTTTCTTTCAGAATACTTTTTGACGTATAGAAGTTAAACTCATTTTTCTGATCATGATGTTGAAATTCTTTAACTGACAGCTTTTGTGACTTGTTTTTCAAGATCTGACCTATCAAAATATGAAGCCAGCATTTGGTGTTAGTAAAATAGGTCCCTTTACAAATATATTTAGTGAAATTTTGAAGCTCAGATTGTATTTTGAATTTTTCTTAAAGCTATGCATACTTCCGTACTCCTTCCTTAAATGCTTTATGTTCTCTAGAACATACTGATTTTAGTTTAGCATCCGTATCAAGAGCATTATTTTCCATATCTGGAATTGTATATTTTGCTTATGAAAAGGCATTTTCATTCTGTTCATTCCCAAATTTATGAATAATGTGTGCATTTTTAAAATAGGAAAGTATAAAATATAACTTTTGGAAGCTTTTATGTATCATTTTGTTACCTTTGAGGTGTACCTTTTTACTAGCATACATGCCTATATGTGACTTTTTGCTAACTTCATTTGCCACTCTTACAAAGCTTTGTCTGTCTGCACATTTCCTTTGCAGTTGCTTTGTGTATACTTCCGAGTAAATATGCCTTATGACTCTCTCTAAACCCAGCCTTTCAAATCATCAATCATTTCCTTCTGGTTACTTTGTTTTGAGATTTGTTGTTCAGATGATTTTTAATCTGCTTTACTGGTGTTATTACCATTCTACGGTACAGATTTTTAAAATGGGATTAACCAGCATGCAGGCATTCAGATCTTCCAGCTTTTCCTGTAAATAAGATGATATATCATTGTCAGTTAAGTTGAATTATGAGCATGATGCATCTTTTTTTAGTTGCAAGATTTGCGTGGGGTGACACAAAGATTGACTTTGCTGAAAGCTCACAGTGTAACAAAACTAAATTGTATTATCGTAACATTTTTCACTTAGCTTTGCATTAGCTTTGCATTTAGGTTTGGTTTAAGTATTTCTTACACACTAGTAGCTTTTGGATTCTTGGGTTGATGGTATTCACCATTATTTCAGAGGCAAGTAATAACTCTAAATTTTGTGTTTTGAATAGTACCATCATGAAGCTACCCTTCCTCTCCCATAAGAGCCCTAGTATGTGCATGTGTGTATTTACTTGCTCTTATTATTAGGAACTGAGCTAGGGAGGCTCACTGCAATAATAGCCCTTTCTTTGCTCTCATAAGCTAATCTCTAATGCAGAGGAAAATCCCATGAGTAAAGGAAGAAGACGGTTACAATATTTTGAGCACATGCAGTAAACAATGTTGTTTGCTTATGCAGAAGTTACTTCCTAAACGCCGTCATTTATTGGTAGTTTTATTCTGTTAAGCACTACTACTTAATGGCTTTTTGTGTTCCTCCCTTTGGTATTTCTCCAACTAACAAAAGGATTTCTGGGGAGGGAAAGGAGAAGGAGTTTGCAAAGAGGTAGGTTTTTCCCTTGGGACTCCCTGGGAACATAGTGCAGTTGGGAGAAGGTGGCCAGGAGAGGTGGAAGACAAACGATCAGGCCACCACCATGTAGTTGGGCAGAGAGACCAGAGCGGATGGGAGCCCATGGCTGTTGGGAGCCACTGGATGGAGCCACGTTTCACTTTGTGAGTGACTGCCACAGGATCTGACCTGTCTGCATCTCTCAAGCAACTGTCAGAAACTGCTGCAGGCAGGGTAGCAGCATGAACCTGTACTGTCACAGCAGTCCCGGCTCCTGTGACAGTTTACATTGTGTCACTCAGGATTTTGAAAGTTGTGGGATTGACTGCTCATCTCCCTGCCTCTACTTGCTTTGTCTGTAGTTCTTTTCTACTGGTGACTTTTTGAGACCCTCAGAATAGAAACATTTAATGAAACAGGTGTTTGTCCCCTTTTCGTGGCTATACCTTACTACAAAGTATGGCTTCCTAATGGAACGTACCTGGTTGTCACTGTGACACGTCAAGAGACTGGGCATTGGTCAAAACAA